ACTCGAAACAGCGTTGTATGGTCAGCCAATTCACAATAAATTAACTACATTTTTTACTTGTCTTGTCTTCACTCTTCGAATCCTTCTAAATTTTTAAAGATATTTTCTTTGTGGTCATAAGAAAATAATGTTTTTACATCAGATTGTCATCAAAGCCATTTAATACACAGAACTAATAGATGAAATCAAATGCAAGAATAAACAAATTCAGTCCATTAGCTTCGATGAACATTTGGTTGCAGCTTCATTAGTGCATCATTGTGGATGTCATATTAAAAAAAGCTCACGATTTTTTGAACGACTTGCTAATAGTTTGAAAGCCAATGAGTGATGCCAGGGCGATCATTTCTTAACACTGAAGTGGAGTTTTGCAGATTGTTTTGTATGCATTTTGGAAATTCCGAAGTAAAAAACCACAGCATTTATTGCTGTAAACTACTGCTTTACAATCAAGGCAATTCATAAGGAAGTTGTAAATGATTTAACCATAGATGCGTTCATGAGATCGCTAAAACGCACTATTACTTTGCGTGTTAGCACTGAATTAAATGTGATCTCCCCAGTTACAAATTTTGAAGTTATAGCCGCTTTTTCCAGTTTTAAGCCCAATAAATCTCCTAGATTGAATGGAATTCCCAAAAATTTCCTGAGGCAGGCAATTCAATAACAAGCTTCTATATTCCGGGATGTGTTCAACAGCTGCCTACAGGAAGGAATTTTTTTTCTGCGTTGGAAGGAAAACAGACCTTTATCATCCTAAAAAAACACACGGAGTCAAGTCAGGATCTGTCAAATAACCAATTTGCTTTTAGACCTAAACGCTGTACTGTTGATGCTATATTACATGTGTGCAACATTGCAAAGGAAGCTACTAACAGCTTAAGATGGCTAGGCAGTATCAAAAAGTACTGCGGGGTTATGACCTCAGATGTTAAAAATGCTTTTAGCTCAGCCGACTGGAGTAGCATTTTACCTGTACTGATGTAAATAAGAGTTCCGAAATATCTTGTGAAAATAATTACATCATATTTTCAAGACAGATCACTGGCCAAATCTATAGAATATCATGCATTCTTCGAATCGAAAACCCAAACGGAGTAAACGTAGTTAGGTAAACAGACGATATTACGATAGTGGTGATTGCTAAAACTTTATACGAAGTGGCAAAATAACCGATTGGAGATTGCTGAGCATAAAATAGAGGTGCCATAAATCAGCAGTAGGACAAAAATAGAGAGGGTCTCAATTAAAGTAGGTGGCATAGACATATAATCTAGCCCTCAACTGACATATCTTGCCGTCACCCTAGATATTAGGCTAAGTTTCAAAACGCTCCTTAAGCAATTGTGAGAGAGAGCCTTACGTGTTTGCAATACATTATCCCGTTTAATACTATACGTAGGTGACCCCAAGGAGATCTATAGATTTTTTAGTCTCAGTTTTCAAGTCGGTAATGCTTTAAGTTGCTGCTGTGTAAGCGCATACTAAAAACATGAAGTCGTTTTCACGCGTAATGAAAACTACACATAGGTAGACTGTCAAACCCACGCATCTGTCGTACTTTCCCTACAGTATCGGTAGATTCTGCAAGAGTATTGACTGGATGAATGCCAATAGATATTGAAGCACTCGCGGCCAGTGACCGTTTTTTCTTGCGCTCTCGACTACAAATTTTTTAAAAAATTAATCTCTATGTAATTCTTATCCAGAAATAACAGACAAGAAGCTTAATGAATGATAGCGTCGGTGGGATCATTCCCTAAAATCAAGATGGACACACTTGCTAACTCTAAATATAAAAATTTAGATTAATCGAGGAACTGAAGACATGGGACTTCAGTTACTTATACCGTGATTACTTACACCGATTCAAGCTGACAGATAATCCGTACTGTCAGTTTTGTCTAGATAAAATTGAGAGCCCGACCCAATAAGCAAATTTTAAGAAGCACTGAAGTGTGGAGCCTCTATAAGTGCATAATCACTAGAACAATAAACATTGTTAAAACAAGCTATGTGCACTTCTAACCTGCCATAACTGTTCAAACTATGACGAAATTAATCGTGTATGAATCGGGCAGACAAATAAAAAATGATTGTTTACTATAATCATTATCAATATTGGACCGAAATAAACTCCTTCTATAATGGAACTAAAGCCATTATGTCAAAAGGCGTTTTCGGTGGCTCGCAAGTGTAGCAAAAATGCATGCTAGCCTATATTTGCTAATATATAGGCTGTCAAGTGTTATAGTTACAGTTGCAATCTGTCAAGTGTTATGTTTTGGGAAATAGTAAATCTTGCTTATGTGCACATAATGCGAGCTAATTATATTTTGTATAAAAATTAATAATTGAAATAATTGAAAATTAAAACGAATACAGAATTAAAAGAAATGGTAAAAATGTTCGAAATTTCAAAACAAACAATCAAATTTTTTCTTTTTCCCCAATTTTCAAATTTATGAAATTTTTTAATTCTGTTTGAATTTTTATTTACATATAATTTTTGACATATGATTGCAATATTCGTTGGAATTTCCAACGAAGGTTCACAATAGTTCTCTTATTTACTGGCCAATGTGTGTGGTCAGTTTACCTATACTAGTCGAGGTAGAGAAAATAGTATTGTTGCGTACATTTCGGCCAGTAAAGGTCAGCAACTTACAGTTTTTTGCCATACTTGCGAGACACCGAAAACGCCTAAAAAAAATTTAACCTATTTCAACATGCTTATGAAAGTTAAATCAGTAATTAAAAATCATCATGAATTGTTTTTAATTCAGTTACTACTACTCAACAAGCAGCAATTTGAATTGTTTAAAACAGTACCGATACCGGTTGTGGTTCACAACACCATAGTAATTATCAAAACTGAGTTGAAGGATTTAACCATAAACACTCTCTAAGGCCAGTATATTCCATTCAATGATCATTAGTTAAGCGACTCTTTTTTAACAAAGGATAAAATATATATTTACTTCTATAAACAAATAAGACAATATAAATCTACTTAATGGTAATTGTTCAACAACATATAAAATAAAAAAACTTCAACAAAAATTGAAACTTTGATGGCAGTTAGTTGTGAAGCCTATTTGAGTCAGTTCTCCTAATGGGATCCGAATACTTGCATTATAAAAAGCAATCTTCATGGTACTAGATTTTTAATTTTCTGTAGAATTAATTATGGGTACAAGTAGTCAAACTAACAGGTGATTTTAATTAGAAGTGTTCAAATTACTTCGCTAAAATAAGCTATTAAGCTAATTCAGATTAAGGATCTGAGTTAGCACCAAGTAATGAACAGAAAGCTATAGCTTATCTGGAAGTGAATTTTACATTAAATATTATATATTATTGTATATTTTATATTATCAAAATATTAAATATTCAGCTGAATTCACATTTTAGACGATTTTTTAATGAGATGTCGACGCAGTTTAATATATCTGTTCTTTGAATTTGCATTCAGAGAAGTATAAATTTAATTTCAATAAATGCAATTATACATTAAATGGATCATCTTAATATATTTAACAACTTCTGAATCCTTTTATTCAGTTCAATTTACATATTAGACGGTTTCAAGATTTTTGTCCTCAGAATTTTTATCTAGGATATCATTCGGAGCATCTGAAAGACTTGAACGTGGTACTTCCATTATTCTAATAATTGTTTATATCTTAATATATTGGGCAAGTTAATACAAAAAGGCAGAATCAAACGATACGCAATATCTGTATGCAAAGTGGGCAGCGTTCTATTAAGACAAGATCTCGCAATCTCATTGATATGCCTTGAAAGATATTAGTTATGGTGGGTTTGTTAACAGCCCACAACCACTAAGGTGTTCGTGCTAGAAAATTAAATAAAAGATACTGCTTCCTCAAAGAGGTGAAAGATACTGTTCAATACTTTTACTGTAGCCATCCGGCTCAAGCAAGAAGCAGTGCAAAACTCTTAGAAAAACATGTTTTAGATCTTTCAGGTGTACAATACTAAAACTAAAACCATTCTGTGCTCAATAAAAATATTAAAAAAGTAGTAAAATAACAATCCTGTGATAAATTCTTATATCAACTTATTGGTCAACTATACCAACTGCCAAGTTCCTAATTCAGTCTTTAGGAATTCCAAAATAGTTGAAACGTGTTCAGAACAGTCAAATGAAAATCTAAACTATAATTGGTCTTGCATAGGCCCGCAAGCAGAAAAGTATAAAAAATACCGTAAGAGACTTTCAGCTACACAAATTCTTAGATCCAAATTAATAAATTAAATGTAGAAATTTGCTTTCAAAGATTTTCTTAAATTTAAATGAAATTATTAATAAATTTTATTTCTTTTAAGCTCAGCGATATTTTGTAATTAATATTAAAGTTAGTTACAAATTCGTTAGAGACAAGAGTATCAGCAGAAAAGAGTAAAATTCTATGTACAACGCGGAGTGAATAAAAAAGATATATAAAAAGATAAGTTCCATTACATCATAATTACATAGATATGAAGTAAAACAGATGAATACGGATCATTCATTGCGACAAAATCACACTATACCTATGCCAATGCACGAAACAATTGAAATAGTCTTAGTCAATCTTATATATAAAAATGAATAGAAAAATGTGTTGATAAGCGCATAACTCAACAACGCCTGGACCAATTTGGTCAATTCTTTTTTCTAAATGTTCGTTGAAGTCCAAGGATGGTTTTTACGGCGGGAAAAAAAATCGAATTATTGCTATTCAATAAAGTTCTAATCTTCTTTCTTATATATAAAAATGAACTCAAAATGTGTTTGTAAGCGCATAAATCAACAACGCCTGAACCAGTTTGGTCAATTCTTTTTTTTAAATGTTCGTTGAAGTCCAAGGATAGAGTTTACAGCGAGAAAAAAATCGAATTATTGCTATTCAATAAAGTTCATATTACATTACAAACAATCACTGTTGTCTAAGCACAATTTGCTTGTGCTTGTGACAAAATTTATATTCGATATGCCTCCTGTAAGACGAAGTAATTTGGGTAGAAGAACCCGAAATACTACAAACCAAACTAATTACCCATCTAATCATACTGCTCAAGAACGTGATTACCGAAATGCACTTGAAAGAATTCAGATTAAGTTGTTTAATCATTATCTCCACTATCCAAGCAAGCCACCCACTTTTTATATATTTGTCACCTTTAAGTTTTCACTGCCCCTTTAGATTATTTTCCAATCAGGTTTGAACCCTAAGTTCGCTTCTTAGTTTGAAACCCTCTGGCAGACATCCCAGTCTGGGTTTTTTAGTGAATCCCAGAAGGGTGACCAAAGTATTTGGAAGAGAAGATACTTTGGTCACCCGAACTGAACCCCACACACCAGACTGTTCTGTTCAGCAGATTTTTTTGCCCCGACTATAAAATAGGTAGGAACAAAAAACTGCCACATTCCAAATCTTTTTGACAGAACGAAGTCTGTTATTTATATAATAAAATAATAAATTGAACAATGAAAACATTAAAGTTTACACATTTATTAAAACACATTTATATAAATTTAATTCACACAAAATGGTTACAAACAAGTAAAACGAAATTTCAATATGATATGATCAATAGACGCAAATAAGAACTTTATTCAATAATACAATTAATATATAGTATTTAAAGGGTTTAAGATAGCAAAATCACATATTACATTTTTTTAGCGTCCTTTGCGTAAATAAAAAAGAATTTTTCATTTAAATTAGTCCACTATTAATCAGCACACAAATACGCAAATTTTGACTACTCTTAGAATTCAATACTCGAAAAAATCGATCTTTTGATTTAGCTAGTGGTTAAAACAAAGTATGAAACATGAACCGCAGATGGACAATATAATAACATTCAAAGTTATAAAGCATTATTTTCTGCAATTATAAATTACATATTTGACCTTAGTTATTGTATTTTTAACTTTCTCTAATGTAATAAACATAAAAAATCTAATTTTTTAATTAGACTTTAAAAAGTCAATATTTTGTTAAGGTTCCTAAAACATGCAAACCATATTTAATTTGCAAAACCGTGAGCATGTTAGACAAATTATACATGATTAAAGTTATTTTATTAATACGACGTATCAAACTTACATTTTTTTAATATTCTGGATTCAGTAAAACTAACAAAAAATCATTGGTAATAAAACTTCATAGTTAAAATTTGTTTCTATGGTATAAACTTAATTAAAAAATAATATATAACTTATTTAAATATTTAAACTATTACTCACATAATTTTGTTGTCAATTAAAAACACCTTTATTTAAGAAATAAATAACTAAAAAGCTTTAAAATGATCAGAAACTCATGAAAGTTGAAGCAAGTTACTTATGAAACTTTTGTTGCTATAACATGAATGTATAATAAAAAATGGCATATTAAATTTTGCCTGCTTCTAATGTTAGCAACACATTTGTAATGTAGATAATATATCTCTATATAGCACATATCACATATCTAACAATAAGACAAAAAGTTCAATAAATACATTTAAACTAACTTTCTAAAGTAGGGATTTCATGCTACAATATTACCTTCACAAATCGTGCTATATCACTTCTAATGAAATAAAAAAATTTACCTTTTATACAAAAAAATTTAAGGGTATTAAAAGTTCATATCAACAAACTAGTACTGAGTACATAAATTCGTAAAGTCATTTGTAATTTTTACAGTGTAACTAGGTAACTGGAAAAGTTTTTACAAATTCATATGGCAACGGACGAAAAAAATAACCAATCACACCAAATTAAATGACAAATTTAACCAATTATAATTTAATATAATATATATAATATAATATAATATAATATAATATAATATAATATAATATAATATAATATAATATAATATAATATAATACATTGGATAAGGTAATATTGGGCACTTTTTTATCCCACATTATTATGTAATTAAACCAGATAGCACAACTACTAAATTATGTGTAGTTTTTGATGCTTCAGCTCGTACATCATCAAAAGTGTCATTAAATGAGTTATTTATGGTGGGCCCTACAATCCAAAATGAACTTGTAATAACATTATTAAGATTTCGATTATATCAATATGGAATAACGCCTGACATAACAAAAATGTATAGACAATTTTGGCTACATCCAAGTAATCGCAATTTTCAACTAATTTTGTGGCGTGAGCATAAATCGCAAAATATTTCAGTTTATCAACTGAATACTGTTACATATGGTACGAGTTCTGCTCCATTTCTTGCAACTCGGTGCTTACACTACATTGCAGATAACTATCCTTACCGTAAAGAAACAGGTAAAATGATATTAAAAAGGGATTTTTATGTCGATGACATGATCTCAGGAGCAGATGACTTGGAGACATTGCAAGCCATCAAAAATGAAACTACCGAAATATTGGATTTTTACAACTTATCGTTAACAAAGTGGAATAGTAACAATGTTAACATCACTGCACCAAATGTTAAACTTACAGATATTGAGACTGCAAGAGATATGGCATGCCCACTTGGAATGTTATGGAATACGAAAGAAGACTATTTTTGCTTCACTTTTCAATCAACCAATATACCAGAAAGTCATACTAAACGAAACATTTTGTCATTAGCATCATCTTTATATGATCCTTTGGGTGTAATTAGTCCACTCATCATCAAAGCTAAGATTTTGTTACAGCAACTATGGATAATTGGATGTGATTGGGATGAATCCGTACCTCAAGAAATTTACACAACATGGAACAAAATTCTTGCTGATTTGCATCAAGTGGTACTTCTTAAAATTCCTAGGTTCACTCGAATCAAGAACTCAATTAACATGCAAGTACATGGCTTCAGCGACGCATCAATTAGAGCATACGGATTGCCCAATTTGGACATAATAATGACAATATTTTAAGTAATATATTATAAATTATATATTTCATATTAATAATATTCTATTATTTTTGTTTTGTTGTCAAAGCAAATTTTCATTCTCATAATGTTAATGACTTGATGTCTTAGCCTTGAACGGTGGGTTAAGATATCAAAATTTATCAAAACAACAACAACAGTTGTATATCACACGAGCACACTTTGCTCGTCATATGAAACTGCAGATAAGCCATGCATTTAGCATGTGCAATTCTTTAATATAGAACATTATGAGAAATTAAATTTGCTTGTGCAAGGTCAGTATTGTACTTATTAAATAATAATTATGTTTGTAAAGCAAGCTGGTATATGGACTTAGTTCAAGGTTAAAAGGAAATAAGTTTATAAGCATATACCAGGTTGCTAAGGAAATTACGCAAGTAATATTCTTTTTTGTCAATGCATACAATTTCCATGAGAACTGTGACCGTTCCCACAACTATGCTGAGCGATACCTAATCGCTACTTTAATGCAGCTTAAGGTATAGGGCATTATCGTGGGAATTGTATGCATTAACACCTTCCCAAATGTGTATAAAAACTCAACATTTTTCTAATAAATTTATCATTCAATACAGAACAGCCCTTGCGTTTTAATTAGTTCAAGTGCTTATTAAAACTCAATTGCAAATAGGTTCATGTGCCTAGTTGCTCAAAAAATATTGTTATTGTTTGAATCCACCTGAAGTTGGTTTAAGTGCCAAATTCAGATCTTGCAATAGGAACTGGTTCAAGTGCCAGATTCCTAATCATAAGCAACACTGAATCGATTCAAGTGTCGATTCAGTTTCAATAAGAAACGACTTATTGAACATTTTTGGTGACCCCGACGTGATTCACCGTAAGGATCACGTTTTCATCAATCCAGTGAACCTGCTCAGAAGGACCACGTTATCATCAATCCAGTGAACCTGCTCAGAAGGGTATTATTGCTGTATTTACAACCATGGAAGTCATGGCAGAATTGATTGCCAAACAATCAGAATTGGGAAAACAAATCCAACAACTGATCACTAACTTCAAAAAGGACTCAAAAGAGAGGAAGACTTCCCCTCGCTACTATGAAGAGCGTATTAGGGAACTCAACGAATTATGGGAACAATTTGATCATAACGACACACAAATCAGGAATTTGCCAGATTTGGATACGAGCGTTTCATATTTTACCAACAACTATTTTCAGGAAATCAAGGGATTATTTGAAAAATATGAACAGATTTTCGAAAATGAATTATCAACCAAAATACCTCCAACACCTTCCTCAAAGGAGTCAGCAACGACAGCACGTCAACCGATGCCGTCACCGAGGGAAGGACAATATAGCACGAGTATAACACGAATGATACACAAGCAAGGTGCAATTTGTGTATCACTGAAGCGACTCATAGCAGGCATCAATCGTCAAACAGGCGTTGAGATGAAATCCTTTTATGAAGTGAATATGGGAAGAATTGAGAAGCTATGGAATGAGATTGAATCCATTAATTTTGAAATTTGGGAGTAAATAATGAACAATTACAACAAGAAATCAGAAAACCAGACAGCGCTGGGATATCACTGCCTAAGGTAACAATACCAAAATTCGATGGCGATTATTTGAAGTGGTGTCAATTCTATGATTTGTTCACCGAAATGATTCACAAGCAGCAGCTTTCTAACGCTCAGAAAATGTGGTATCTCAAAGGTAGTTTAACAGGAGAAACAGAAGGTTTAGTCCGACACCTGTCAATAACCAACGAGAATTATCAAACGACATGGAATTTGCTACAAAAACGATATCACAACAAAAGAATTATTGTAGCAACAATCATTCAAAGAATTCTAAATCAACCAATAATATCAACCAATCCTTCAGCGACAGAAATAAGGACACTCCATGATGTTACTTTTGAAGGATTGCTGGCACTGAAGAATGTGGGACTCGAAACTGATTCATGGTCGCCGCTACTGCTTCATAGTTTGCTCCTCAAACTAGATAAGCAGACTCGCATTTTGTATGAACAGTCGCTGACTCATCCAAGAGAGATTCAGTCGATTAAGGAGTTCATGATTTTCCTGGAATCACGATTCCAGTCCTTAGAGGCGATTGGTCATAGGGAGCCATGCTCAGCAAAAACCCTTACCACAACTATGGGAAAGGCAAATATATCAACCTGTAAGATCTGTAATAATGGATCACATCCGATATATTATTGCAAAACATTCTTGCAATCAACACCACAAGGTCGTATCAAGACAGTACAAAAACTTAGACTGTGCTTGAACTGCTTACGTACAGGCCATAGGGCAGCAGAATGCAAAAGTTCCCGGTGCAACAAGTGCAGCAAGAACCACAATTCGTTGTTGCACTTATCAGAATCTTCCAAGACAACACACAAATCGATCAATGTCAAATCAGATTCATTGGTTGAGAAACCTGGTCATCAACCTTCTACTGTAATCACAGCATTAATACAAAATAAGGGATACGTTCTCCTTAGTACAGTTAATATGAAAATAGCTACGTTTGATGGTGATTTCATTGAGTGCAGAGCAATACTCGATTCTGGATCACAAATAAACTTAATCACAGAAAAACTGGCAAGAAAATTAAAATTGCAGTTACACTCATCACCGTTATGGATAGAAGGAATTGGTAGAAGCAAAAGGGACACAAAATACAGTGTGACAACAAAAATTCAATCTCGAATTAATGATTTCAATGTAAATATCAACGCATTCGTGATGCCTCGAATTATCTCAGCCCAACCAACACAGTGTCTGGATACTTCTGGTTGGTCAATTCCTCAGAATATAAAATTGGCTGATCCAGACTTCGCGAATCCAAATCAAATTGACTTATTAATTGGAGCAGAATTCTATCACAGCTTTTTATCGATTGGTCAAATCAAAATAGGTGAGGGTCTACCTGCACTTCAGAACACGGTTTTCGGATATGCAGTGGCAAAGTTAGCAACGGTAAGCAAAAATTACTTACCTGTGGCATGTGCAGCGAAGCTGACGACGAAGCATTGGATAATATACTTACTAAATTCTGGCAATTGGAGGAAATCAATCAAACGGATGACAAATTCACTGATGCAGAAAAGAAATGTGAAGAATCTTTTGCTCAAAACACTCACCACAATCATGAAGGGCGATTTGTCGTGAAATTACCATTTAAGGAGGATACAACTGTTATTGGTGAGTCCATGCAGATGTCGATGAATCGGTTTTTTAGTCTTGAACGTCGGCTGTTGAAGAATTCTGAACTAAAGAAGATGTACGTTGACTTCATGCGAGAGTACGAACATCTCGGCCACATGGAAAAAATTAATCAGGATGATATAATGCATCCACATTACAATTTGCCACATCATTGTGTAATCAAGGCAGATAGTACTACAACAAAGCTTCGAGTGGTGTTTGATGCATCTGCAAGAACATCAACCGGAGTCTCACTCAATGATATCATGCATAATGGTCCAGTCGTGCAGAACGAACTCTCATCCATTTTACTGCGTTTCAGGAAACCACGCTTCGTTTTTACAACAGATATTGAAAAGATGTATCGGCAGATACTAATTGATCCAAGAGATGAATATCTTCAAATCATTATCTGGCGAGAGTCAGCAGAAGAAAACTTGTGCTATTACAAATTAAAAACGGTAACGTATGGCACAACAGCAGCGCCGTATCTGGCAACTAAGTGTCTACAAACCCTGGCCAGAGAGCATGCCGTTAAATTTCCGCTTGGTTCCGCTACACTCAGCAAGGATTTTTATGTCGATGACGGTTTAAGTGGCTCAGACAGTCTCATGGAGGCAATTGCAACAAAGGATCAATTTATTAAAATATTGGCGACAGCTGGTTTCAAACCTCGCAAGTGGTGCGCAAATAATTCCCAATTACTTCAAGGACTGGCTCCAGAAGATCAAGAAGTGGATCTCGATGTCAGCAGTGAGTCACATAAGACAGTAAAAACTTTAGGCCTTATCTGGCTACCAAAATCTGATCAATTTTCAATAAAAACTAACGGACCTACACACAGCAAAATAACAAAGAGGACCGTAAGTTCTGAATTGGCGCACATTTTTGATCCACTTGGATTAATGGCTCCCGTAGTAGTGAAGGCGAAAATATTTGTTCAAAAACTGTGGCAGTTAAAACTTTCGTGGGATGAAGCTCTGCCTGCTGAAATGCATACTCAATGGACCCATTTTCGTCAGAGCTTATGTGAAGTAAATAATGTAAAGATTCCACGACATATATTTCATCATAAACAACCAAGGAATACTCAGATTCATGTATTTACTGATGCCTCCGAAAGAGCCTATGGAGCTGCCATTTACATCAGAGCCGAAATGACTGATCGAACTATCTCAGTTCAGTTACTTTATTCAAAATCACACGTCGCTCCACTAAAAACGCAGACAATACCAAGACTTGAGTTATGTGCGGCTTTACTAGGAGCACAATTGGTAGTAAAGGTAAAAAAGGATTTGGAATATGAACATCATCCGATATATATGTGGACTGATTCTGAGATAACATTGCATTGGATCAATTCAGAACCATCAACATTCCAAACTTTCGTTGCTCATCGTATCAGTAAGATTCAGCAATTAACACTAAAGGAACAGTGGAGGCAAGTCAATACTAAACAAAACCCAGCTGATTTATTATCCAGAGGTGTAGATCCAATTTACATTCAGAAGAATGCAATGTGGTTTTATGGGCCACTTTTCCTTCATGGAAATCAAGAATGCTGGCCCCAACCATTCCGTCAGGAATTGATAACATCCGACCATATACAAGCGGATGTCAAAAGGAAGGTACATGTGCTTACAATTTCACATGATGATGAACTAATCAAAATGATTTATACGATAAGGCATGGAAACTCATTCATAAGGTTGCAACGAATTCTTGGCTATGTGTTGAGATTCATCAAAGGGTTACGTAATAAGAGCAAGCACAACGACATCAATTTGACACCATTAGAACTGGATGAGTCATTACTCATAATTATAAAAGCCATACAGCTAAGTGATTTCAATGAAGAACGACATCAACTCTTAAAGAAAAGGGATCTGAAGGGAAGCAGGAGTCTCCACGGACTTTCTCCATGCCAAACACCCCATGCTGCTGCCATATAACGATCCAATAGCTAAGCTCATAATGAAACATTTACATGAGAAGGGACTTCACTGCGGACCGCAAACATTATTAGCCCAGTGCAGGCAGCGATTTTGGCCAATAAAATGCAAGATTATGGCTCGATCCATTGTGCAACATTGTGTACAATGCACTCGAGTACGCCCACA